GGGGGCCCCCGAGGGCCCCTAGAGAAGAGGTAAGAGTAAGAAGAAAAGAAGAAAGTAATGAGTGCAGATGATTGACAATAAACATAAATTTTATTTTATATTGCTGTTGCTACTACTACTAATACTACTAACTACTACAGTTGCTGGTGCTGCTGTTGCTGCTGCTGCTGCTGCTGCTGCTGCCACAGCGGTGACTGCAGCAGGAGACATAGAGCAGCACCGCTGCAGCAAACGGTTACACTGGCGCCCCGCATTGTGTCCTCGTTCTGCTGCTCCACTTTGCTGCTGCTGCTGCTGCAGCTACACTTTGCTGCTGCTGCTGGTGCAGCAGCTACACTTTGCTGCTGCTGCTGCTGCTGCAGCAGCGGCCCCTAGCATCCAGGCGCAGAGAGTGAAGCCTGAGGTGTACAGACAGACGATCGCTCACTGCACTGCTGCTTCTCTGTGTCTCATGCTGCAGTGGTCGCGGCAGCAGCAGCAGCAGCAGCTGCTGCAGCTGCTGCTGCTGCTGCATCAGGAGGGCGTAGGTGTATCTGCTGTCCCCCGGAGACGCGTGTTGGGGGAATTGCTGTGTTGTTTGAGCTAGCTAGCTATATAGCTAGCATTGCTAGCTAGCTAGCTATATAGCTAGTATAGCTAGCTAGCTAGCTATATAGGTAGCATAGCTAGCTAGCTAGCTATATAGCTAGCATAGCTAGCTAGCTAGGTATATGGCTAGCTAGCTCCCTAGATGGCTAGTTGAATGGGCCCACGTACCAACTACCTAGATGGCTGGCTAGCTAGATACCTAGCTAGCTAGCTAGCTAGCTAGCTGGCTAGCTAGCTAGGTGTGAGGAGGCAGCACAGTTATCCCCTGTATGAAAAAAAGTATTAATTTTAACGGCTCTAAGAGCAGAGACGAAAGCCAGGGTGGCTGCAGCAGCGGCATCATTTGCTGCTGCACGCAGCAGCAGCAACATCACTTGCTGCTGCATGCAGCAGCAGCAACATCACTTGCTGCTGCAGTCAGCAGCAGCAACATCGCTTGCTGCTGCAGTAAGCAGCAGCAAAGACATTGGCTGCTGCACGACCGATGCTATATGTATTCATATATACACTGACACGCCAGCCTTTAGCTGCTAGTTGCGCCAGCTGCTGCTGCTGCTGCTGCTGCTGCTGCTGCTGCTGCTGCTGCAGCTTCTCTTCAGCCTAATTAGCAGT